TTTAACTTACTTTTGTATACTGTCTGGATAGATATCAACTAACTGTTGAACACATAACAGAGTACAAATGAATACAGATCGATGTTTGCACAATACTGTCCCACTAATTACTTAATTAATGTCTGATTTTATTGATAAATAAAGTTGAATGGATCATATTTTATTCCTCATCATTGAATTCATCCTGTGTAATTGGTTAATTGTTTTGATCATAACCATTCCAATCCATGCAGATCTATACTTATCTACCATTGTTCTGTTTCTGTGTTGTTTATGTATGTTGTGGACAATTTGAACAAGTGTGTCATTTCTCTACTCGTATATTTTGACATGCTTCATTCGATATCATGCTGTGTAGTGAATATCAACTAGGACATCTGTCTAATTGAAGACCAAACCAAAAATGATTGTTAGTGTATTGAAGTTAAAGTTAAAGTGAGAGTAGGAGTAGTAGTGTACAGTATGATTTGGTGTTGTCTTATCCTATCTTAATTCAATGGATATTCGTAATCCCCTCCCCCCTCACTTATTCTTCACTATTCTCGAATACCAATGTTACTTAATCGTTGTCATCATCGTCAATGTGTATTGTGTGTGCTTTACCGGAAACGAATTTCACATTCATCTCATTCACAGATGGATGTTACATGACAGACAATCATGATTGGTCAATTACAAGTTGGTCATCTAACCAAAATCTGTTCTCTTTGTTCATATCCACACATAGACAAATGAGTTGAGTATAATATTCATTGTGTTATATGATATACAATGATATAATTAGAGGGTAATATTCAGTTTTTTGTTTCATTAAATGATGATGAGTGTAACAGATCAGTGGATAATCATATCAGTATTCATTAATTGGTTGATTGTTTGTTTGTTTTTAAGGAATCGAACACAGCAGGAATGATTGTACAATGAAAGACTTTAGGCTAAAAATGAAGAGATGAGCATTTTTATGGTTGTAATTAGTGGGTAGCATTCACGTTATGTTTTGGTACACATGTGTCTGTTTTTCATTATGGTAGTTTGGTTACGATGAGAATATGGATGTGTAATGGTGACCATCCTCTTTCTATGTACATACCAAATAATTTTGTATTGACATTTAGGAATAATGAGGGATGTGATTTTCAAATCTATAGAATATTGAGGATGGCAATCTCATAACGTGCACTCACGAACACCCTCATATTCAATGTGTTGTTTAGAATGCATCGATTAGAGGGGGAATCAGTCAATGATTGAACAGTCCATTAGTAACTTCTCTGACCTCTTGAATTGCATAGACACTCAGTCGACCACCAGAATAAGACCTGTATGATACAGGGCTTCTTCTAAATTTCCCCCGACTAGCTTACACCAAATGGAGTATAAATCAAACTGTTGCCAAGCTTTATAATGATCAAAACACTCCAATAGTGAATGTTACCTTTATTCTATTATAATTTGAACCGATCTGAATTACTTCGATAGAAGATTTGTAATCTGAAAAGTTTTTTTCTGGTTAGCGTTTTTTAGCGAGATGGTATGGGGTCGCTAACCCCATGCCCCAACCCTCCTCCTTTACCCGGGCTTAGGATCGGCAGTAGCCTCCGTAGGATCTACAGGCGAAGTACCAACTCTAAATCTGTTTCTTATTTGATGAAGCGTTGCAATCTGAGTTGAGTGTAATCCAATGAGTTACCAATTACTTTTTCTAATTTACTATCCATTCTATGATCCACATACACACACACACATTGCATGTGAATAAACACATCAGCAAGTGATTCTAAGTAGGAATGAACTCCGGAAATTGGAAAACAAACTACTTTTTGGTTTCTTTCTTGTGTTTTTTTCTAACAGAAATTCTTATGTCATTCATTGTTGTCCATCATATAGTCTCTTATTCTCCCAATTGGATTACCACATTTTCCAGTGTTCACTCACTGGTTCATTCATTCATTCATTCATTCATTCAATTCTCACTATTTGTTTAAATGCAACAACAATGAAACATTCAAATGAAACAAACAACAGAATGAGATACAAATACAACGAATGGATGCATATGATACAATATTCAATTGAGACACTTGTTATTTGGTGTATAGAATACTATGATCCAATGGAATAGAATCCTTTTTCACGGAAGGCGAAAACAGAGAGGGCGAGCGAGGGGGAGCGGGCGTGAGAGAGTGAGTGAAGGAAAGTGATTAGGAGAATAATTGAGATTGTTTCCCCTTTATTTGAATTCCGGTTTTCTGTTTCTAGTCTATAATAACAAATTATACTATTCTGAATAATCGACAATCACAAATAATTGAATGGTCGAATTACATAAGTAGACGAAATATCAACAATGAGATGGAGTTAAACGACAACAGTTATGAAGAATAGACTGACAGGTTGTTTTACACGAAATGTATTCATTGTATCCCAGATATTACATATACAAATATCTAGTTTATGTTTTGGGGGGGGGAGGTTCGAATTGATTAACTCCTAGTTAACTGAACATTTCCTGTTAGTTGAAAGTAATAAAGAGAACTGTGTACATTCAGTTAAATAGAAGAAATAAATCAACAAGTAAACACAATTGAAATAACATTCATTCACAATCAGGTTATACATCGATTGAGATAAACTGTGATGAATAGATGGTTAAGTCATAGCCAAATGAAATAATTCATTTGATGAATGGATTGATAGATGGATAATGCAGGAAAAGTCATAATAATCATCATCACAACAATGTGAAATACTGAGATGTCTCCTCCAAGTTTACTTTGGTACAACTCTTAATGATGAATATGATGTTGATTACTTTCATCAGTGATTGATAACTGTGCAATTGTGGTTGATGGTTAGGTTTTCATAACTGACAAATGGAAATGTTTTGTTTACAATAGATCGATCACTGGGTAGTGATCAATATCAAGTCTTCCTTAGTGTGCAAATCGAATCCTATCGACGATGTTACAATGTGGCTTCTAGTCTAGGTGATTGAACATCGTGTTGAGATGAGATGGAGGTTGGATATTTCATGCTACTTGGCACTCGTCAGTTAGGTGTACCTGTAATCTCATGGGGACTGATGCTCACTAACCCATTCGATCTCGTGTCACTCAGCTTCGTAGTCAGAGACGTTAATTAAAACGACACAGTAAGGCGTGTTGGAGAAACAGAAATAATTTACCTTCCGTAGATAATTGTCATGGAGATTGGTGTAATAATCATAATAATATACTTAATTGAATTTGTATGATAATTAAAAACATTCCAATGGATGTACTAATTAAGAATTCTTAAAATTGTTCAGTTTAAGTCAGGTACAATTAGATGAGCACAAATGAACATAATCAGTGGGCATGTAATCAAGTACAAATCATTAATTTGTAAAAATATCACAATTTGTTTTGAATAAATGAGAATGATTTCAAAATTGATTGATCATTGGGTGATGATCAATGTCATGCGTGTCAAGTCCTTCTTAGTGGTGATCGAATACTATCGATCAAGTTGCAATGTAGCCAGTAGTGTAAGTGGCTCGACACTGTGTGCACTATGTTGAGATTGTAACTCAAATTCCCGTACGACTTCTGTTCTTCCCTGATTAGCTGCCATCACCTTTAGCCTGTTAATCTTTTGTATACCCCGAGGTCATCTTTCCTTCACTAAATTCACGTAGTTGTTCTTTTTAAATTTGTCTTCTTAGATATCAAGTTTTTTCTACATTACTGAGTTTTATCGTTGAATAGTTGCACGCATCAGTTGTCGTCATATTGAGTTAGCAATAAACTGTACGTTCCTATTAGAATAATCTCGATCACTTGCAATTAACAATTGTGGTGGGTTGAACCGAAACCAAATAATAACCAATAATCAAGATAAACACAATTCAGAAACCATTGTTACATATACATCAAGACAATCAACTCGACGTACGCTGTAATCACATACAGCAGTCATTGAGTTCAGTGTAACAATACTCTTGACAATCACCCACTCAGCTGTAAGTTTAACCAGCTCACCAACCCCCAAATACTAGACCTTCTATTTTGAAAAAAACAGACTGAAACCTATTATATTAAACTTCGGCGAGACTATAATTTGTGAACGAGTCAATCAGAAGCGTTTGAGGGATTTCAAGGTCACGGCGCCAATTTCAGCTCCTAATGCTCATGTACGATCGGTTTACAGAGAATTTGAGAGAAGACTTGACAATTAAGCGGCTACAACAAATGAGACTACTTAGAAGTTACTTTATTTGGGATTGTGGTAGACCTTGTGCAAACTACCGTGATGTTGTCCTTCGATGCAATATATGTTGACGGAAGACGCTTGCTAGAATAAGAACCTTTATCGCTCGATCCAGATTGAGACTAAGGCATATTGTAATACTTGTCGCGAACTGTATAATAAAAGCACCAGTAACATTGGCTGCAATAATTGCAGATGTTACTGAAGCTTCGGCTGTTCAGTGGTATGAGTGTTGTGGGGACATATCCATAATAAAAATGATAATTTTACACAAACGGAGTACACACAAACAATGAAGCTATGTGGTCGATGCTGAGAGGGTTTTTGTGACCTTATCATGGCTCCAGAGACCAACTATTATGGAGCCATATGGATGAGTTCCTCTACATCATGCATTACGATTTTGGAGCCTTTGGATCTTTTTCTAACCTTGACAAGTTTTTGGACCATACAAAAGAAATGTATCCACTTTAATTCTTTGGTTTTATATGATATATTTTTACTCTGTGCTGACTGTTTCCTGATTGGCTAACATTTCTCGCGGTCACCTAAGATTCGCTCAAAGGTCGTCCATAAATCATGGTCTCGCCTAAACTTCTACTTGTTTACTGTTGAAATACATACTACATGACACAATACATTACGCGATGTGATATCTTATGATATTAGAAAACTTGACAATGACTTTTTAACAAAGTTCCAATCCCTTAACATCTCTAACACCTGAGTTTCAAACAAGAAGCAATAAAGTTCCACTGAACGTTTTTAAACTTTTCCTTAAAAAAAAAATAATAAGTACTCTAATTGCAATTAAAATATAAAACAACAGGTAAGTGAAGTATTACAGAGAGATAATAACAGAATACCGACACTGAAGATGATCACATTTGATGAATGGATGATTTGTAGCATCACTGTTTATAATAATGGTAAATTCATTGTAGGATCACACATATACAACAACATAATAACAACCGATTAAAGAAGATTTACACATTTACAGAAACAAATTTGGCACAAGTAAAAAAAGGAATCTTTAACAATCCCTGAGTAAGGTGAACGATAGGGTTGGATAATAATGATAATACTAATAACTTGATTTAAAGACAAAAGGAGGGGGAGTGTAAAAGTATAGGAGGATGAGATGATTAAAAACAGGGTACACATCACAAAAATTATAATATTAGTATTCTACAACAGAATTGAAGAAGAATAAGTGGAAAAATTCAAATCATTCATCTGAAATGTCTTTAAGAAATGGAATTAGTTTTCAATTGTTTGTATTGGAAAAATTGTTGGAGAGAGAAAGATTGTAATGACCTTCTAATATGGCAACCGTTGTATTGAATGCACTAGAAAAAAAAAGACAAAAACAATCGTCAGGGTGAAAAACTACGATGAAATTATGTTATCATAGTAATAAGATGCATGATATCTTACTTACGCCTGATAACCCTCGTGGAGGAGCATACACCTATCCGGAATTCTACAACATACTCGGTCCTGATCAATCCTTGCTACTTTCGGCCAAATATTATCCATTATTTTGCCGGCTGCTTCCAAATCTCGACACAATATGCTCATTGGTCTTCCGTTTACCTTCAGGAGTACAAGTTAGGGTTTGCCTAGTAGTGCAGTTTAATGCTTTACCCGATGTATGTCATATACACTCTCAGCATCTTTTTCTAAGTTCCTTTACAGGTGGAAGCTGGTTTGTTCTCTCCCACAGTAGGCTGTTGTTGATGGTATCTGGCCAACGGTCTTTGAGTATCTTGAGTAGGCAATTATTTATAAATACTTGTATCTTTTTGATGGTGGTTGTAGTAGTTCTCCACGTTTCAGATCCGTACAGTAAGACTGAATTGTCATTAGTATTGAAGATTTGCACTTTGATACTGGTTGACAGTTGCTTTCAGTTCCATATTTTTTTCAACTGTAAGAATGCGGCCCTTGTGTTGCCAGTCCTTGATTACATAATGACATCAGATCCTTCACGTTTATCGATGATGCTGCTACCCAGGTACAAGAAAGTTTCCAGCTCTTTAAATGTGATTGGGTTTGTGTTCTCCATGTTGTCGCATATTTCACTTTCCTGCAGCCTTTTTCTCTAACATTTCTCTATCTAAACACATAAATATTGGTATAAAGAGGCACCAGATATGCGTCACACAAATGTCATTTGACTTGTGTGAGGGCTGTGATACTGCTCAGGTGCCCAAACTGAAGCAAGCGGCTTTCTTAGGGGGCTACACCCCGAGCCTTCAACATAAAGGTTTGATCCACAAGGCAGTGGAGCATCTGCAGGAGATGCAGTCCCATGGCAACCGGTCACCAACGATTGGTTCATACGTCATTTATTCCTTCAGGATACTGGAGCCCATGTGCACGACTAGTTTGGAATCATGGTTTATCAACTCCCCTAGGTGGACTCGCCGTGTCCACTAACCTGGTTAAAGTGCCGGACATTCACTTTTCATCCTCTCAATTTTGTAAACAACACCCCCGCCACGAGAAGGCAGTGAGTAGGACTTCCCTGTCAGAGGCTATATACGCGTGACCATGTGAGAGCATTTCGAGAGGGAGAGTAGACTCTCCCCACTCTCGGCCGTACCAGGGCATTTGGGAGCGCATTGTTTGTTAAGAATCACGCCAATATGGGACATCGATAATGTTGTTCAAAATGATAATGAAAGCTTAAGAATGAAGCTAAACAGCTCACATTATTACTAATAATACTAATAATATTACTAACGTAAATAGTGTGTACAGAAATATGTATATTTTTACCTGCCATTTCGTACTACAGAATAAACAGATTTGTCACAATTGCACAAGTCAATAATGGTTGAACCAGCTCGGATACAATTGGAGTTTTCTGAGAATATATCAGATTGAATAGGACCACCATTGATGATTAGATCGATGGATGACCAAATTTCGGAAAATTCCTGAATATAAAGAAAGAAAACGTATCATAATAGAATAAAATGAATGAGGATAAAATTGTCTTAAGAGAGCTAAACAAGATACTACTATTGTGGTATGCTCTACTTATATCCATATAAGTAGTATATGACGATGGTCAGAAATATAATGTATTTTGACAGAAGATCGATAAGGAACGAAGAGGAATGAAGCGTAATCGGTATGAAAATGCATGAACAATGAAATCAGAGAAGATGCACTGATATTTGCAGAAGGAACATTTATGATTGAGACAATGGACTGTATGGTTATCAGATTTTAGTTAGATAGTCTGTAAGTTGGGCTTAAATACATTCGATTATCCCCACTCGTCTTCTTGTTCAATACACTATTACTAAATATAAGATCAAATATCAATATTGAAAGTAACTGACAAGGAATTATGGAATCTGAAGGTCAGATGTTCAATTTGTAATTTATCAGTAGGATGTATAAACAATCAAAAAGGGAACTATTTTAGCAATCAGTATGATTTCACCCCTACGTGGATTATTCTAACTTTAGAATAAGACAAGTAATTTATTGTTTTGGAATCATTATGTGCACATACATTTGATTTTGTTATTTATTCACTTGTAAGCTTGATTGTTTTTTTTATTAAAACGTATTTGGGCGTATATTTGTTCATCATTTACTCTTTTCATCACATTCATTTTCAGTCAGTCAGTCAGTGACAACGTAGAACTTTGTACGTACGTACATTCCTTTTAGCTTGTCCTTTGTGTTTGACTATAAATACTGAGTCACATTTCAGCTTAGACTGAGTTGCCACATTTACCTTCTCCAGTCCGTTTCTTTTTTACTTATTTTCCGTCTCCATTACTGAATACATGAAATTACATGTATTGTGTTAATCACTAATGTTAATGAAGCTAGTGAACACGTACGAAGTGAAATGGGATATGCATATATTTCGTCAATATTATGATTTCATAATAAAAGAGTCAGACCACGGACACAAAATCATTAATCCGCACTGCTTATTATCTTCTCTTCCAGTTGCAATAAATTCGAATGTTGAAGAATAACGTTTTGACTCAACAGTGTGTATGAATAAGTCATTTGAGGATGCGCATCGCTGAGGAGCTCATAATAGGACGACATAGCTGTTCAATGCTTCCAGGTGTCCGATAATGTATATTTGTTTAGGCACAGAAAATACACAATGATTAAGTGAAGGTCACACAGGGGAGGAGGTAATCCCAAATAATAAAAGGAACAAGTCATTACCTAATTAAACAACATGATAATGAACAAAAGTTAGTCAATCGGTTGGAAAAAAGAGATGTAGTGTTGAGTGAAATTACTTTATGACAAATTTTCTTCACAAAGATAAAAGAGTAATTTATCACACTTTTCTTACATCTACATGTTCGAAATAGGTGACGGGCAAGTCACCTACTAATTACAAATCTGCATGCTTGGCTTTGAATGACACTCTAAGTATGAAAGCTAGTGATATACTACCTGATTACCCTAACTGACATAAGGGCAGAAGAGTTCGAACCTGAGATTTGGTGACTGAAAGTCGTATGCACTGTTAATGTCTAAAACCTAACTTAACTGCAAAGAGAAGTAAATAAGTCACTTGTCATTTACTTATTTTAGGTATCATTTGACTAAGCATTTGTATTTTGTCTCACACTGTTATCCCCATCATTCAACAAGGCTAGATTTTTCTCATCTGAACAAATATGCACTGATCTGGATCGGTATAAATGATAATAATATCGTAACTTGCTTTTTTTATTAATCCTGACTCGATGTATCAAATCAAACTTTTGTTTGCAGTCTTATTGCCGATTATTGTGAATTTAGACTTTTTTTGTTTAAGCTTATAAGAAGCCGCTAAAAACAGTCAATCAGTTGTAAGTAACATAGAACCTGGCACGGATCTACATCGACACAACATATTACACTAGATCAGCTCAGGTAGAAAAAAAACATTTCCAAGACCAGTTCTATGGTAAAGTAGTGTATAACAGGATGAGCGGTAGTAGAAAATAACACTGGACACAGACAATGACATACGAGGAACAAAATAGCATACAATAATTCCAAAACTTAAGATCTAATGTAAGACAGAAGATGGATTTATCGGTTACTTACTTACTTACTTACGCCTGTTACTCCCAATGGAGCATAGGCCGCCGGCCAGCATTCTCCAACCCACTCTGTCCTGGGCTTCCTTTTCTAGTTCTATCCAGTTCTTGTTCATTCTTCTCATGTCTGTCTCTATTTCTCGGCGTAATGTGTTCTTTGGTCTTCCTCTTCTCCTTTGACCTTCAGGATTCCATGTGAGGGGTTGCCTTGTGACACAACTGGATGATTTACTCAAAGTATGTCCTATCCACTTCCAGCGCTTCTTCCTGATTTCTTCCTCCATTGGAATCTGGTTTGTTCTCTCCCACAGTAACTTGTTGCTGATAGTGTCTGGCCATCGGATACGAAGTATCTTGCGTAGACAGCTGTTAATAAACACCAGTATCTTCCGGATGATGGCTTTCGTAGTTCTCCACGTCTCCGCCCCATACAGTAGAACTGTCTTCACATTTGTATTGAAAATTCTAACCTTAGTGTTGGTTGACAATTGTTTTGAGCTCCAGATGTTCTTCAGTTGTAGGTATGCTGCTCTTGCTTTGCCGATCCGCGCCCTCACATCTGCATCTGATCCACCGTGTTCATCAATGATGCTGCCCAGATATGTAAAGGTTTCCTCATCCTCCAAAGCTTCTCCGTCAAGTGTAATTGGATTGGTGCATATTGTATTGTATCGGAGAGTCTTGCTTTTCCCTTTGTTTATATTGAGACCTACTGCTGCCGAGACTGCTGCTACACTGGTCGTTTTCTCCTGCATTTGTTGTTGCGTTTGTGATAGAAGAGCCAGATCATCCGCGAAGTCGAAATCGTCAAGCTGCATCCTGCATTTCCACTGTATCCCGTGATTTCCTCCAGATGTTGACGTCTTCATAATCCAGTCGATCACCAGGAGAAAGAGAAAGGGTGAGAGTAAGCAACCTTGCCTAACACCGGTTTTTACTTGAAACGAGTCGGTGAGTTGTCCTCCGTGGACGATTTGGCAGTTTAGTCCATCATAGGAGTTCCGTATTATATTGACTATCTTCTCAGGCACGCCGTAGTGTCGAAGAAGCCTCCATAGTGTTGTCCTGTCCACGCTATCAAATGCCTTCTCGTAGTCGATGAAGTTGATGTAGAGCGATGAATTCCATTCGATTGATTGTTCCACAATGATCCGCAGAGTTGCGATTTGATCTGTGCACGATCTATCCTTACGAAATCCAGCTTGTTGATCTCGAAGTTTGGCGTCCACGGAATCCTTCATCCTGTTTAACAATACTCCGCCTGTAGCTCCTCCGGGGGCTACTGCCGGTCCCAAGCCCGGGTAAAGGAGGAGGGTTGGGCATGGGGTTAGCGACCCCATCCCGTAGAAAATCAACTCGCTAAAAAAACGTTAACCAGAAAAAATTATTCAAACCATTTAAACTCTTCTCTGGGAGTAGAAGGAATAATTATGACGTCTCATGATGAAAGCCGTATTCCTTCGGAAGTCATGAGGCCGATGCACCTTCTTACAACCAGAACAACAATTTTTATAGGTACATGGAATGTCCGGACAATGTGGATCTATCGGCACTACCATAAATGATTCCCAACCATGTTACTCATTGTTTCTCTAACAACTGTTTACTAAAATTGCATCGAACACAACTGTGTAGTCTATACCTGCTAACACGTTTGTAAAAAAGAATGATGAGTTCAGTTTCTTTTTCTTTTTGCAAATCCTGTTGTTAAACATATTTTTCCTCGTTATCATTGATACTTTTATGAATGATTTGGTAGTTGGTACTGGAAAACTGTGAATCGGGCAACCCAAGTAAGAATACAAATCCCATAAATAAAGGATTTATTTGACTCATAAGATATACCCTTATCTATCGACCATGCATTTTTACTTGGGTCGTCTGATTCACGGTTTCCCGATATAGAGCACCAAGTCAGTTAAGCATTCTACGGACATAACAATAACGACGAGGTCAATTTATAAGCTTCAGTTCTTCTCAATCTAAATGCCTCGTTTTAGTTATAACGCAGTTTTCAGTTCATGTTACCTCCTAAATAGTTTTTAGTTATGAAAAACTTCTGCTTTTTTTCTGAAAGTCATTATTGTAATAGAGAATACGGTTACAATTTCGAAAACATGCCGATTTCAGTCGCAGAAGTAAAGTCAGTAATTTAATTTAATGAGGATGTATTCAGTTACTAGACATCGATGCTTTGTAGGAACATATGGTCAAACACCCAAATCCAGAAGTACACTCAAAAATCATAGATGTATTCAATGATATAACTTCTGAATAAAGAATAATTTTATGATAGGGGAAGAGGTCAAACGATTCCTTAGTAGTGAAAAATTTGGGCAGTGTTCAAATGTTTATTTGTCTGATTGAGCAAAAATAACAATACTACTATTTTATTTAGACTTTTCTACTATTAAACTCATCTAGCTGTGCCGATGAGATGTGAGGTTTGTGAGGACGGCGGCAAAGTGAGTTAACACAAATTTGTCCCAGACCCTGCACATTGGTTGTGACTATGATTGGATTCTTCTAATTTCTTGAAAATAAAAGTATAAACACTGTAATAATTCACACCGCCCCAAAATGCCCTGGTATGGCCGAGAGTGGGGAGAGTCCGCTCTTCCTCTCGAAATGCTCTCATATGGCCACGCGTTTATAGCCTCTGACAGGGAAGTCCTACTCAATGCCTTCTCGCACCACGGGTGTTGTTTACAAAATTGAGAGGACGAAAACCGAATGTCCGACACTTTAAACGGGTTAGTGGACACGGAAAGTTCACCTAGGGGAGCTGAAAAACCATGATTTCAAACTGATGGTACACATAGGCTCCAGTATCCTGAGGGAACAAATGGCATATGAATCAATTGTTGGTGACCGGCTATCATGGGACTGCATCTCCTCACGATGCTCCACTGCCTTGTGGATCAGACCTTCAGGTCAAAGGCTCCGGGTGTGGCCACCTAAGAAAACCACCTGTTTCAGTTTGGGCACCTGGGCAGTACCACAGCCGTCACACAAATCAAATGAGATTTGTGCGGCGCATATATATCTGGTGCCTTTTTGTACCAATATTTATGTGTTTAAATAAATAAATAATAAATAATTCATACTTCGATTTGAATTGCTGACGGTTGTCCACTTAAATTTGCTGAGGTTAATACTAATGGGTGACCACCACTAATACTGATACTATCACGCTCATCACAACCGCTAGAATGTTCAACGTTATTGCCAATAATTGATGATCTAGTTTGTTCATTCAAAGCTGATATAAGTTTACGTATGAAACCAGAATCCGGTATTCGAATACCAACACGTTTGTCGCCTGAGTTTAACAAACGAGTGCTCAATGGATCCTGAAGTCTATCAGAAAAACATGGTAATAGGAGAGTGACAGGACCAGGGAGAAGATCTGATAGCAAACCAGTTGGAATATTTTTTGTATCACACCAGTGGGAGATATGCGACACCTAGAAAATACAGAGGTAGAAAGTAAAGAAAACCACACACTGTGAATCGACATGAATGAACTATTTTAACTATGCATACATGTAGTGTCAAATTAGACTAGTTGTCCTATTGCAATTTGATATGTAGGATTTAATCAGCACTAAGGATTCAGTAAATATGGTCACTTCCACTAAATAACGAATCAAACTGTAAATATGTATGCACATATATCGATTAGGTCATGTAAGAGGTGAGCTTAACAGCCATTTTATTACAATCCCTTGATATTAGTGTTAGAGAGAGAGGATAATGTGGCGTCTGCTACTTATACAGACAGATATAAATAGTATGCATCGGAAGTTGGATTCTTACTGACAGAAGAGGAACATGAGAAGTGAAAGAAAAACACAAGCGGTACGAGTAACAACAGAAATGAAAGATGATACATTTAAGAAACAATTCAAGGAAGATGTCCAAATAGTGTATCCAATGTATTGTTTCCATAGTTTACAAATGCAGTATATGATTTTGCATAATGCAATAAATTGGTTCACCCTACTCAATTTTTCGTCCATTACAATAAGAATACATGAAGCAGTGAGTGCGGAAGTGGATACTTGCGATAAACATTTCAATAAGTCATGTGAGAAATTCTAGATTTGATGGTTTGTTTCCAACATACAAATTCGCATACTTGGATTCAAGCCACCCTTTAAGGGTATGGGACAACTACATTTTATTCGGTTGCCTAAGGCAAAGTATTAGAACTTGATTGTTGAAAGTCAAATGTCATAGCTACTGAACCCTGTTCAACATAAAATTGAATATACTGGTATTTTATTGACTTTGTAAAAGACTACACCAACTATAAGAAACGGTCAATGATGGAAGTGTACAGAACAGTGATTCAATGGTTTAAGTCATTATCTTGAGGAGGGTAGTGATAGATGAATTACAATACCAAAAATGGTACTTAGCTTTTAACAAAAGGTGTAACTTAGGACACAAGTGAAATGCCTGCTCTTTAATACTCTGTAAGACATAGTCTATGTAACGAGAAGTCATAAGTAGACGGCGAGTATTTGATTATAAATATCTTCGAAGTATTACTTACATATAGCGGAATTGGAGAGCGATTAGTGTTATTGCTATTCAACTGCTGTTAAGTGTTGAGTAAATCGATTGCTGTGCATACTTTGATAGAATAATAGTAGAACGCTATGTGAAGCCAAACAACACATATCATTAAGTAAATGAAATCACTGAACATTAGTCTAAGCTGATACTGATAACACATAAACATACAAAAAGAACAAAATGATTTAAACCTACCTGATCTAAGCATATAGCCATAGGTTTAGTCTCTGATCGACCTTTAATACGACGTATTCGTTCAATTGCTTCAGTATTAAAAACGGAACAAGCTAATCCATAAACAGTATCTGTTGGAAGTGCTACTACACCATCATTTTGACTGATTAACTGAACGATTGCATTAAGATTTAAACTTGCTAATAAAATTATAAAAAAATTAAGTGAAGCACTATAATCCAGTAGTGTTTTACATGAAACACTAATTGAATATATTTCGACTTTTTTCATAGTTGAAATCATGAGTCAATTGAAGCTAGACCACCATGGAAAACCTGGAAGCACTGCTTGACGGCCCTTTCGTCCTATTATGGGACTTCTCAGCAGTGCGCATCCACGATCCCGCCTCGCGAGATTCGAACCCAGGACATACCAGTCTCGCGCTAGAGCACTTAACCGATAGACCACTGAGCCGGCCGGCATCCAACGGTGTTAATGTCTAACTTCAACCAATCCACGAAGTTTGAGCAACTGTTCACCAATTGTCTTCAGTGAGTTGTTATCTCACAACAGACTTGGTTGAACTCCATTGGTTACTGCTTCCCACTAGAACTCCAGGACATGTATCTTGAAGTCAGTCACTAGTGAGCATATGATTATAATCATCATCGGTAAAGTGCTCTGGTGCAAAACTGGTAGGTCCTGGGTTCGAATCCCGCGAGGCGGGATCGTGGATGTGCACTGGTGAGAAGTTCCATAATAGGACGAAACAGCCGTCCAGTGCTTCCACGTTTTCCATGGTGGTCTAGCTTCAATTGATTCATGATTTCAACTATGAATATTTAGTGGCGAGAATCTATTCCGCTCTCTATTTATCTACGATCCAGTCACCCCCTATCTCAACGGCCGATATTTGATGGTGTAGAAATAGGTTGGAAGAAAGCTGGGGATGATCAACCAGAAGACATGGCATCAGTTAATGAGGTTATTGACAAGTGAATTGCGTCATAATGGTAGAAGTAGACCATCTGGTTGCGGTCCGCGTGAGCACCATAACCAATTATTAAAGACGATAGATTACATAGATCACAGTTGATCACGATGGAACATTCACATCTACTGTTTGTTCTCTCTTAGGTCCTAAATTTCAAAATCTTAAGCTTTTTATTTCATGAATTCAATTATCTCGACTCATTATCTGTCCCTAATATCGTTTTGTATTACCGCTGACACTTACAATACTACTACTCTAGCATTTTGCTGTGATATATGGTATAGCAAAGTGAACAGATACATACATGTTCCAGGTTCAATGTAGCGTATGATTAAATCAACTCACTTCAATTGCCAAAATTAAGTGACCCACAGTATTATTTTCTCCACTATGACAATTTTTTCTTCTACATCTCCATGTACATACGCTGTAAATAACGACTCATATAAACAGTCCATATTTCAAGACACCTAATACTTTGAATTACTTTGCAGTTATACCATTGTCTATTCTTAATCTATGCCCTTTAATAGACATAATATAAGTATGAATATCGTTTTTTTCAAATGATTAATAAATATTTTGGATTTTAAACAGAACATAAGAACCATAAGTATATATATGTACAACTTAATTGTTTTTTTACTATATTCCAGTGTAAATTTATGAGATATGAGATAAAATAGAATTAGGCTGAATTGCCAGTACTATAAAGACCTTAGACACTAGAACATATTCTACGCTTAAGTAGGTGGAGCTAAGCTCTAGAAATGAAGTATCCGACTGTAGCAGCTACCTTGTCGTAGCGATTAGGCTTACTTATCATGATGTCCCAATTAAACTGCATTGGCTAGAACACATTTATTTAAACCCAACCATACTATGTCAGTCGGTTGAGGAGTGGTAAATACTACAAGTAGCAACTTAAGGTCTGAGAGTGAAGTGTCCTGGTGACTGTTCTGGGTTGTAGTGTCAGTAAGATGTTACTCTTAGACACATATCATTTCCGTATATTGTATCTCCTCACAGGAGGTCAGAAAGTATTAGCTCTAAAAAATAGCACATCTGACCGATGGTATTGATAAGACCTTGAGCAAACGAAGTTAACACATGAAGTACTGATAGCCCCTAAGTACTTATCTCTTGAGCTTTATGACCAAGCGCCTACAACGACAAGACCACTATCAATCTGGTCACCTTATTAGGTAGCTAAATAAGTACCTCCTTAGTGTAACGAACCAAGAAGTAATAATTACCGATGCACCTCTAATACCACCCTAGACCACCATGAGTTTAATTACTAGACCAATACAACTATCAAGCCATAAACAACTTTCATCCAATAATGAAGCAACGTTCATAAAGCATCAAAAAGAACATGTCACAACTTACCATCTTTCACACTAATTATTTTCTTATTCATGATAGTAGGATAGAAGTTTGTAAGCAGATGACACAATTTCGAGGGCATTAATTTCAGTGTAAAACATAGGTTTACGTCACGCGATTATTTCCCAAAGAGCTAAAGTAGTGAAAAATACTGTCATTAGTAGACAAAAGAAATATAAATCGTCATAAGACAGTATATGAAGAAATTAATGTGACTGGCAGGAAATAAGCCTAGTATTCCACTTTGAAATTCCTTGACAAATAAAAGAAGCATGAAAACTTATATATTCCCACAATTGACTTAATAGATAACATTTGATTAACCAGCAATGTTATACTGTCAAAAACATATTCCTGCCAAAAAGAAGAAAAAGTAGCAAAACAAGGACACCATCTAACTTATCGGTCAATCAGTCAGCTACAACGTAGGACCAGGCACATCTATGCATCGGTCCAACTTGCCATACCTCGTTAGCACAAGATGAACACCGGATTCACAGTTAATTTAGTGGTGGTAATATATAAAAGATAGGTTGTAATTAAGGATTCAGTATAGGAAGGAAGAAAGATATGAAGCAATTTTAATCTCAACGTTTAAGGGAAGATAAACAGTGTATACACCTACGCCATTGTGATCAATTCTGAGCCATATCACACAGTCTCCAAACATTGGTTACGACAGTCACGCGGACCCCAACCAAGTAGTTTGCATCTACCAACATGGCTCAGACTAGAAGTTAGTGACTTCAAGCACTGATGCCACGTTTTGGTTTGCCGCCCCTAACTTTCTTCCAACCATCCCCAATACAAGTCAGCACAGCACGTCGTGGTAATCTGTGTTTAGGCATACATAACACGTGGCCCAACCACCTCAGTCGATGAAGATTAATGACCTTATCAACTGGTTTACCATCATTCCCTAATAGCGTGTCTTATCTAACTTATAAAGTATTCGAGCACAGTGAAATTACTTGAAAAAGCGATACAACGATAAAACACAAATAATAATTTATCACAAATTAATTTTATGTTATGACGTCTAAAATCAAAGTAATCGAGCATTAAGAAGTAAAGCAACATGAATATAAACAATGATACCATCAGAAGTACAGAACTACTTAAAAATGGGAAACAACAAACCCCGAAAGATAGTGTAACCTGTAATAGGACACAGAGCACATAACAACCGAGGCTTGAAGAAATACAGCAAACGGATAACAAATCAAATAACTCCAATGGACATACACAGCGCAATCGATGCACATAACAAGCTACCGTATATATCAGTAGTGGGTCAGTGGTGTCTCCAAGAGGAAACCCATGTTTATTTAACGAAACAAAGAGAAATACCAGTGTATAATAGTGGAATACTGTCCTGAGTCCTCAAAAATTCATTATGTTACCTCTTAAAGAACTCCTGGGGAGTTTTTTGTACCATCACAAGCGGCAGTGAATTCCAGAATTCGACTACTTGTATGGAGTAAAAGGTGTGCCTACAGTCCATTCTGCTGTGGTGTCTGCAATTTCTGAGTGTTACTCGTAAGATTTCTGTTAGGAGTGAGCTTATGTAAGTATTCAAGGGGACAGCCAGGAGTGTTTAGGATACAATAAGTCATTAGGTCACCTACGAAACGCCTGTACTCTAATGGGTAGAAATCCAGTGACTCAATGCATGCTTCATAAGGTCTGAATGAAAGTCCTCGAACTGACTCCATGGATCGCTTTTAAAAGCATCCCAGTGTATTCCTATCCTTTTGGAGTGAGGGAGGAAACACATTATTTCCATATATGGAGTATACTCCGAATGAGGCGTATAAAATTGTTAAAGACTAGATGAAAAGTTTCACTGTCAATCTGACCAAAAGTGCACTTCAACGTTACTAGTGTAAGGTTTACTGGAATGGCACTTTTACCACATTTAGCGAGATTACGCTTTAGATTATAGGGTACCAAGACTCTTACATCTTTCTCGATTTGGCATACTTCTAACCAAAACATTGATTCATGTCGAGTCAAATATCCAAACCTTTTGTAGAAGAGATAATAGGATTTTTTCTGGATGATTATTCAATAAGTACAAGCGAAACAAATTTACCTCGAAAACACATAAATTGCTAACGTGCCCGAACATGTGCACACACCGAAACGCAAACTTTGAAATTGCGGGCAAACTTCACTTTCTGTTTTGAAAGGAGAGGAGGCTAAATGACCCATATTAGTCCTGTCATTGGTGACAAGTAATTTGTTCTAAACTTGTGAACTTTTCTAGAATGTTTTCGTAAATCCTCTGTTTTAGAAGACGAGAAAAGCGAAGACATATCAGATGAAAATTCATCGCTAAGGTTTACTTTAGTCAAGCATCATATGACAGGTTTACTATTTCGGGAATCAGCTTTGTTAAGATTATCTGAACCTTTACTAGCAGCTCAATGTCTCTTATTAGACAAGGGCTAGCCGCTTGTATGCATTACTCGAGTTTGAGACGAACGAACACTTAATATAATTCAAGAAGGCTTTAGCATCAATATGGCCAAAGGCCCAACGTATTGGCAACACGTTTCTGAAACATCTGGTGGCTCTCGAATGGCAATGCGAAGTAGTTTTTAGGTCTTTGCTAATGATGACTCCTAAGTCGCTGTGTGTCTGGATAGCAGGTATTTCACTGTTATTCACCGTGTATGTGTCTGTACCTTGGAAAACAATATGCATCATAATGCACTTGGAAACAATTATCGGCAACTACCACATTTTCAATCATTCAGGTGGTTTTTACAGGTCATTTTGAAGCCCTAAACTATCACCTCCATTTTTTATCGCTGTCCATATCCTGACATCGTCAGCATATAACAAAACCGATGATGATGGTACACTAGGATTATGATGTGCATCGCAGTTTCCTTCAAGGTTCAACGTCTTCAGTGAAAAGTGATGGCTCTGTTGATACTTTCATTGTTAAATCACTCATATAATTTGTATAGAGTAGGAATCCGAGTATTGAATCGTAGGTACCCAACGAGGATATCCTATAGACCGAGAAATAGCGTAATGTACCTTGACCTTCAAACGTACTTACTTACTTACTTACGCCTGTTACTCCCAATGGAGCATAGGCCGCCGACCAGCATTCTCCAACCCACTCTGTCTTGGGCTTCCTTTTCTAGTTCTATCCAGTTCTTGTTCATTCTTCTCATGTCTGTCTCTATTTCTCGGCGTAATGTGTTCTTTGGTCTTCCTCTTCTCCATTGACCTTCAGGATTCCATGTGAGGGGTTGCCTTGTGACACAACTGGATGATTTACTCAAAGTATGTCCTATCCACTTCCAGCGCTTCTTCCTGATTTCTTCCTCCATTGGAATCTGGTTTGTTCTCTCCCACAGTAACTTGTTGCTGATAGTGTCTGGCCATCGGATACGAAGTATCTTGCGTAGACAGCTGTTAATAAACACCAGTATCTTCCGGATGATGGCTTTCGTAGTTCTCCACGTCTCCGCCCCATACAGTAGAACTGTCTTCACATTTGTATTGAAAATTCTAACCTTAGTGTTGGTTGACAATTGTTTTGAGCTCCAGATGTTCTTCAGTTGTAGGTATGCTGCTCTTGCTTTGCCGATCCGCGCCCTCACATCTGCATCTGATCCACCGTGTTCATCAATGATGCTGCCCAGATATGTAAAGGTTTCCTCATCCTCCAAAGCTTCTCCGTCAAGTGTAATTGGATTGGTGCATATTGTATTGTATCGGAGAGTCTTGCTTTTCCCTTTGTTTATATTGAGACCTACTGCTGCCGAGACTGCTGCTACACTGGTCGTTTTCTCCTGCATTTGTTGTTGCGTTTGTGATAGAAGAGCCAGATCATCCGCGAAGTCGAAATCGTCAAGCTGCATCCTGCATTTCCACTGTATCCCGTGATTTCCTCCAGATGTTGACGTCTTCATAATCCAGTCGATCACCAGGAGAAAGAGAAAGGGTGAGAGTAAGCAACCTTGCCTAACACCGGTTTTTACTTGAAACGAGTCGGTGAGTTGTCCTCCGTGGACGATTTGGCAGTTTAGTCCATCATAGGAGTTCCGTATTATATTGACTATCTTCTCAGGCACGCCGTAGTGTCGAAGAAGCCTCCATAGTGTTGTCCTGTCCACGCTATCAAATGCCTTCTCGTAGTCGATGAAGTTGATGTAGAGCGATGAATTCCATTCGATTGATTGTTCCACAATGATCCGCAGAGTTGCGATTTGATCTGTGCACGATCTATCCTTACGAAATCCAGCTTGTTGATCTCGAAGTTTGGCGTCCACGGAATCCTTCATCCTGTTTAACAATAATCGGTTGATGACTTTTCCTGGTATTGAGAGAAGAGTGATGCCCCTGTAGTTGTCGCACTTGCTGAGATCGCCTTTCTTTGGTATCTTGATCAGAAGTCCTTTTTTCCAGTCTGTTGGTACTTGTTCTTCGTCCCAAATCCTACTGAAGAGGATGTGTAGTATCTTAGCAGTTGCTGCTACATTTGCTTTCAGTGCCTCTGCCGGGATGTTGTCTGGTCCCGCTGCTTTGTCACTCTTGACTTGTCTAATAGCCATGCTGATCTCTTCAATTGTTGGTGGGCCAATATCGATTGGGAGGTCCATGGGTGCTGCTTCGATGTTGGGTGGGTTCAGTAGGGCTGGTCGATTCAAGAGTTCTTTGAAGTGTTCTACCCACCTGTTTCGTTGTTCGTCAATGTCGGTGATTACTTTGCCTTCCTTGCTTTTCACTGGTCTTTCTGGCTTACGGTGATTTCCAGCAAGTTTCTTTGTTGTATCATACAATTGTCTCATGTTTCCTTCTCTTGCAGCCTTTTCCCCTGTCGTTACTAAATCTTCCACATATTTACGTTTGTCGGTTCTGATGCTCCTCTTCACTTGCTTGTTTCCCTCTGTGTATTCGGCTTGTGCCTTGGCTTTTTCCGCTCTGGTTCGGCTGGTGTTGATTGCTGCCTTCTTGTTCCTCCTTGCTTCAATCTTATCCAGTGTACCAACAGTGATCCATTCCTTGTGATGGTGCTTCTTTTGGCCCAGAACGTCTTGACACGTTGAAACGATTGCCTCCTTGATACCTTTACAGTCGCTCTCCATGGTAGTCCCCTCTCCATTGAGTAGATCATGAAAGGCCTGGAACCTGTTACTGAGGGCTATGTTGAATTTGTTGAGTTGGTCAGCATCTCGAAGAAAGGCAGTATTAAACTTTTGTGATGTTGTCCGCGCCGTTGTCCACTGCTTCTTGAGTTTTAGTTTCATCTTGGCGACCAGCAAATGATGATCGGATGCTATATCAGCTCCTCTCCTGGTTCTCACACCCTCCATCGTCCTCCTGAACTTTTTGTTGATGCAGATATGGTCGATTTGATTCTGTGTAGTGTGATCCGGTGAAATCCAAGTGGCTTTGTGTATGTTTTTGTGCGGAAATATGGTGCCACCTATGACCAGTTTATTGAAGGCACATAGGTTTGCAAATCTCTCACCATTTTCGTTCCTTTCTCCCAGTCCATGTCGTCCCATGACGTCTTCGTATCCAGTGTTGTCCATTCCAACCTTGGCATTGAGATCTCCCATCAGAATTGTCAGGTCTTTGGTTGGGCACTTCTCGAAGATCGACTGCAGCCTATCGTAGAATTGGTCTTTAGCGTCTTCATCGTAGTCATTGGTAGGCGCATAGCATTGGATGACGTTCATTGTAATGCCCTCTCTCTTTGTTCTGAAGGAGGCTTTGATGATCCTTGGTCCATGAGTTTCCCATCCATAAGCGCATTATGTGCTTTTCTGGACAGCATCAATGCCACTCCTTGTGTATGTGGGGCATTTTCTTCTTCATGACCGGAGTATAACAGAAGTTCTCCTGAAGACAGTCGTTGTTGTCCAACATGCGTCCAATGTGTTTCGCTGATTCCAAGAACCTCCAGGTTGTATTTTCTCATTTCTGCAGCAATTTGGAAGACTCTTCCGGTCTCCCACATTGTTCGGACATTTCATGTACCCATAAAAATTGTTGCTCTGGTTGTAAGAAGGTGCATCGGCCTCATGACTTCCGAAGGAATACGGCTTTCATCATGAGACGTCATAATTATTCCTTCTACTCCCAGGGCAGAGTTTGAAAGGTTTGAATGATTTTTTCTGGTTAACGTTTTTTTAGCGAGTTGATTTTCTACGGGATGGGGTCGCTAACCCCATGCCCAACCCTCCTCCTTTACCTGGGCTTGGGACCGGCAGTAGCCCCCAGAGGAGCTGCAGGCGGAGTTACCTTCAAACGTCCATTATTTAAATATGATTCAAACAACGATAACTTCATACATGTCATCTTGAACTGATTTATGAGACACGTATGATTTACTCCCCAACAAGCTTCTGAGAAGCAAGGGTACATCACATCTATCTTTCCCTAACAATCAACGAGGGTTGTCCATCTATCTACTTCAGTCAGCACATTGATAAAGTAGAAATAGCCCTTCCTCAAATCGCGTTGTTGGGTTGAAAAGAGGTTTATCGATTTCAAGTAGGCCCGTTAACCATCGAATATGGGATATGTCACAACCTCTGCGAGTATTGAAGGAAGTGCTACTGGTCGGAAGCTTGAAGGCTCTCTGCGTTGACCTCCCTTGGAATTTGAAGCAATGTGAGCCGCCCCTCAATTGCCTGAGAACATACCGTGGCTTAGTGACTGTAAGAACACTACGCTAAGTAGTTTACCGAAATTCGGTCCGCTTCCTCATTGGAGCAAACCAGGATAAGTGTTCTTGTCTATATGCTGCAGTCTGATATACCAATCCAGTGCTTAAGTATACTCCTGTTGAGTTTCAGCTGGAGCCGTCCTCGATGTGAGTCGTATGCCACGGTTGAAATATTTAAAAACACCGTTTGCCAGGATTTCTGCGTCGTCAACATCGTAGTTGTTTAGACCACTCATTAGGACCTAGCAACTGAGAAACTCTGACTATGGTTTATCGAAGAGACGCTGCATGAAAGAATAAGCTTTTCGGACTAGATGCAACTATGTGATGATGTTCAATTCATAGACTTTAGATTGACTACTCATTCTTCGATTTGGACTTCCATTTCGTTGTCAACACCGCTCTATTTTCAATTTTCTAATCTAAAGCTTACTAAGCTATTATACGACATATTGTACCTTCATCATTCATGGCTGGTTATGCCTTTCTTTGGAGCCACTATCTGAAGTGGGGACGGGAAACCTTCAGGTTTACTTTTTTTTATTGACATATGATCAGCTTCTAAACGAGGATATCCATGCCGCGACTCAGGAAGATGTAGCGGTTATTGTACATTCATGTTGAACGTGTTGACTAACGATTTATTCCGGAAAAACGAGAGTATTTCCTACCCTAGCTACATTACAGCATAATACATGACGATGAGAGAGCATCCTGAACACGCGCATACCTAAAAGAAGAGACGATTCTAGGTTCAAAACTGCATGGAATACTAGCTACAGGTCAAAAGGAAGACCTAGGGTTAGTTGGAAGCTTTCCTGAAGGACTCTGACCGTACCAATACCGAGGTTCAAAGTAATTGGAGATATTTTTCTGATCGAGCTTGCACCCAAAATGCAATTTAACCCGAAATATCTCTGCAGATTCATGACATTAAGAAAACCTACAAACGAGGTTATATGTACTCTTAAAGGATAAAATCTTAATAGATTTAATATGGAAGAGCTGCTTTATGCTGACTCCACCGACCAGCTAAACCAGGAATCTTTGAGCGTGGAATAGTCCTCAACTCTAGTTCCAGTTAAGAGTCTTGGTAATATTCAACTAACTACTGTGTTCGTAATAGGAAAAACAAAATCCTTGCACCGAAGAAAGTCACTAGAATGTAACAACATCTACCCTACATTCCTAAATCAGTGTGAGAAGGCAAACCTGAACCTTTTCAGACACTCACTGGAGCCACACCAACTTCCAAGAGAATGGAATTAGACCACTCAATAGTCTTTAAGGAGCGAGACAGCCAACTGCAAACCAGTCTCACTACTGCTAATACTGTCGAGAGTAATGGGAGGACTGGTCAGTGAACAAATTGAGGAACAGATAAATAATAACAATGTCTTTACAAAGCTTAACATGATTTTGAGGGAGAGAATTTCTGTCCGTTTAATCTTACCATAGCACATAACAACTGGAGGACCTGATTAAAATAAAAGATAGCAGCCCACTCAATATTACTTGACTTCACTAAAACCCTCTACACAATGCCACACGTATTTTTCGTAGATAAGGTTGCGGAAGTTGGGTCTCACTGACCCACTCTTATCTTGGCTACGAAAGTACCTACAGAACAGGATGCTTCGTGGAGAAGACCAATAGTATACTGTTTAAATTCGGTCTTCAACTCATTACTAGTAAAACATCTACTTACGATAAGATAAATTTATTTTTGTTCGATCTCCTCAATGAAAAAGCTTTCAAATTACCAAGTGTTCTAACATAGAATATGTCGAGACATTTGTGAGCAATTAATGTACAATAGGCAATTCGTACCATATGTAGCCATACTATCGACAAGTTTCAAACTCCTATGAAGTTACAGGAAATAATTTTAAAACGGAATCCTTCAGATTATTCACATTGTAAGAGACCTAATTTATCAGTTGTATTGAGAACAATAAAACTTCCAAGTTAATACCAGATATCAGAAGTGGTTTTTGTGGCTATTACAGTAATTTTAATAGTTGAGATCATGAGTTAGTTGAAGATAGACAACCATGGAAAACCTGGAAGCACTAGACGGCCGTATCGTTCTAGTATGGGATTCCTCAATGGTGCGCATCCACTATCCCACACGCGGGACCTATCAGTCCCGTGCGCGAGCGTCTAACCTCTAGACCACTGAGTCGGCATCCGACTGTGTTAATGTCTAACTTCAACCGATCCTCGAAATTGAGTAACACATCCACCATTGTCTTCAGTGAGTTACTATCTCACAACAGACCTGGTTGAGCTCCACTGGTCACTGCTTCTTACTAGAACTCCAGGAAATACCTCTTGAAGCCAGTCACCAGTGACTATATGTCAAGAGTTATATCAAGAAAGTACAATATTAAAGTCACTGTATTATAACGTGCCCTCGTCTCAAGATATGTGAAACTATCAAATGTAGACTTAAAACTCCTTTAATGATCTTCATTTAAGAAGGCACAGTAACTTTTTAGCATAGATAGCGATAATTTCAAATGATTAGTCTAACCCGTTAACCAATCTTAATCAAATAACTTTTGTTTAACACAAGTAGATATTATGAAATTAATTTGAAAAAATAATCACCCCATGGATATAAGCTCAAAAGCTATTCGACAGAGTAACAATCTCAAGTTATTAAAATAAATCATTCTTACTCTAAGTGAAGTTGTTAACTATTTTGTGTTTTCCGAGTTCTTACTTCATAGGTATTAAACCTTAATGAACACCTTTTCGAACATCATATGAAATAAACTAGAAGAAATTAAGTTATCTATAATGGAATTACAAAACGAGCATTATTGATCTTCAGGAACTGATATTACAACTAGAAATATTCGAAGTAGTGCAATTTAAACCAAACAGAACTAGGTGAATACAATTGAACGTATTGTATTTAGCATTCGAAATCATACACACATCAAGTGCAAAAGAATCATTAATTCGTATAACAAACACCAAAATAAGCTAAGTCTGTTGTACACTTTCATTGCCTACAATGATTGGGATATTTATGTTAGCAAACGTTTATAGTTATCTAACTCTGTATGATGTACTGGTTAACTTACAAAATGACGCTGGAAACAAAAACTTAAGTTCTCCAAGTAAATCTAGTGATTTGAATCCTATTTATTTATTATTATTATAACACATAAACATTGGTACAAAGAGGCACCAGATATAGATGCACCACACAAAAATTGTCATCTCATAAGATTTGTATGAGGGCTGTGATACTGCCCGGGTGCCCAGACCAAAACAGGTGGTTTTCATAGGGGGCCACACCCCAAGCCTTTGACCTAAAGGCCTAACCCATGAGGCAGTAGGGCATCGTAAGGAGATGCAGTCCCATGGTAGCCGGTGACTAACAATTGGTTCATACAACATTTATTCCTTCAGGATACTGGAGCCCATGTTCATCATTGGTTTGGAATCAGGGTGGACTTTCTGTGTCCACCAACCCGGTTAAAGCACCAGACATTTACTTTTCGTGCTCTTAATTTCGTAAGCAACACCCACGCCACGAAAAGCCAATGAGTAGGACTTTCCTGGTAGAGGCCATATATACGTGACCGTGTGAGAGCATTTCGAGAAAGAGGGCAGGCCCTTCCCGCTCTCGCCCGTACCAGAGCATAATAAATGAATATGCAATTACAAAACTAAATCACACTAACAAAATAAAATAAACTATCAAAAGACTATACAGTTAAAACAATATAATTTTCAATAACTGATTAAATGAACAATATACAATTGCATATTCTATTAAATTTCTTATTTTGTTGTTGTTTCATTATTTAATCTACAATGATCATTTAACAAGTTATCTTGTTGTGAATCATGATTATTAATACCATTTGAACCATCTTGTGGAAACATTGGTGATAAAGAATTCTTTGATATAATACAATGTGATTCAATTTCTTCTTGTTCTTCTTCTTCTCCTCCTCCTACTCCTTCTTCTTCTTCTTTACTCTTTTTTAAATGGGATATAGAATTACTTGTCAATTTTTTAGGCATAATCGAAGCATTACTAGTTATTTCATTTGTTATAGTAGTTGTATTTAATGATATTGAAGTAGTACACGTACTATTCGTACTATTAACAGGATCAGTAGTACTAATAGTAGTAGCAACAGACGATGTAGACATCGAAGGAGCAGTACTAGGAGTAGAAGTAGTAGTAATCGTGGTTAAAGGAGTAACACTTGTTGTATTCATCATTAAACTAGGTGATGAAAATAAACTTGAAATTTGTTCAACTTTCATTTTTTTAAATAAATTCATTTGTAATAACCATGTTTGCTTTTGTAAACGTAATATATCCATACGTAATTCATGTTCTTGTTTTAATTGTAAATATAATTCTTTTTGTATATCACGACTAAATGTTGTATAAAATGATTCCGCCGTGGATGGTAAACCAAAATTAATGAAAGATTGATTAAATGGTGAAAAAGAGGATAGAAATGATTCATGTACTGATCCAGTGATATTGCCAACATCTGAAGCACTATGTGTGTGTAATATGAAAAAAAAAAGAAACAAAGCAAAACTATCAATAAGAAAGAAAATATTGAGTTAGATAAAGAAATGGGAAAACATTTAAATCCAAGACTAGTTAACTGTTATTCTGAGCCGTGTAAACTAATCTGGTTGAGATCTGTTAAGATAGCTCGTTGGCAAACTCAAGGAAGCCTCAAGAAGCCCAGAAAGAGCCGAAGACATTGCATCCAATCACTGCTAGGGGAACATTCTAGAATGTCGACGTGTAGCTCTCCTATTGGTTGAATAAGAAGGACCCCCCTATGTGCCTATTGGCTATCCGAAATGATGATTTACTTTCAGCCAAAAACAATAAATACATGAGATCTTTGTACTATATTTGACCCCGACCGTTACCACTACCTTGACGTGGTGGTCGGGCTTGCCTATCGTGATGAACCAATCGAGCTATACTGGCTGGGACAATCGTTCCTCAAGGTCCTACCATGTCAGACAGGTCGGTTGAAGAGCAGTAAGACTAAAAGTAGCAAATCCAAGGTCCGAAGGCGAAGTCGTACTGTGGTGTGATCTACTTATATCCATATAAGTAGTATATGGTGTGGGTCAGACATAGAATGTATTTTGGCAGAAGACCGATGACGAAAGAACTGAAACAAAGCGCCATCGGTAGGAAAATGCACGAACAATCGAATTAGAGAAGAAACAGTGAAGATCGAGACTATTGGTTGTTAATTTGCAAATTGACTGTACATTGTATGGTTTTCAGAATTTACTGAGATAGTCTGTAATCTTTGCTTAAATACATTCGATTGTCCCCAGTTGTGTTTTGTTCACTACAGTACTGCTGACTGTACAGAGGTGTGACGGCAGTAAGATGTTTCCTTCAGACAACCAGCATAACAGCGGTGCTGCCTTCCCACAAAAAGGGGTGAAGTTAGAAAAGGTCGACCCTAAAAATGCACACCTCGCCTTATCCCACGGATATCCGTCTCCGGCGGTAAGGCCTCAACAAGTACGAAGCTAACACAAAAACTACCCACAAAAAGGTCGTGTGTGAGCGACCTCAAGCAGTTGTCACTTGGGCACTGCGGTCACGCTCCCAGGTCACTAAGACCACTTCTAACCCAATTCTCTTTTCAGGTACCTCTAGAAGAACCCTTTCACGGTATGGCGACCAGGAAGCGATAACTGCCCTCATACCCCTAACAGCACTCAGACTGACTATATTTGACACTGTTTTGGGAATAACATTTCTACTTACTAGTCTTCTATCTTTTTCTCATTTTGCGACTTGGGAGGGTTCTAGCGTTCGAGTGCTCAAGTATTACGTGACATACTAAGAATCTAAGTTCAAGATATAACAGGATTTTTATGATAATCATGACCAATGGTGAGTATAGATGTTTTATGTCATGGTTTAGAATCAATCGCAGAGAAACATATACAGTCATCATTCTTCATCTTTAAAATTATTTCACTCATTTTATTCTTTGATCTTGTTATTTGTGTTTCAAACCTTCATTTGTGTTAAGATGATGGAGAAGATTTGTGTCTCTGAGATGGGCGGTTTTTTGGTCATGGAGCTTTTATTGTTCTTTTGAACAACATAATCATCACAAACTCTGAGTCATATGTGGAGGAATTCGAATACTTCACTTCTGCCTGAAATTTGAGCTGATAAGGTTGTTTAGAAGAACAATGAAAGCTCCACGACTAAACCGTCCAACTTGGAGAACGAAACTCTCCCTTGATTCGTATGTTTAATTTTAATACTATTATCATTCCATCCTTTTTATTATTCATCTTACAATTTGTTGATCATTGAGTAGCGACCAATGTCATAGGCGTCGAGCATTGTTTAGTACTGATCGAATTCTGTCGATCAAGTTGCAAATTGGTAACTGGTTTAAGGGACTCGATATCGTTTGAAGGTAGTAGGCAGGAATCCGTTGACCGAACAGCTCAGTATTGAGATCTGTCTGTGAAACTGGATAACCCGGGTTCGAATCCCATAGGGAATATTAGTTACCAAAAGGTTCCAAGTATTCCTAGCTAACAAGTACCAACTAGCATGACACCGACATACGGGGTTACCTTCTGACTACCACCAACTACCTATACATTCATCTTATCAATTCCACTTCATCGTGTTGATTTAGGTGTGAAAATTTGGCCTGACGCATATGTAAACTAGGTTTTACTTTGATCATGACTGACTATTTTGTAATTTGTTTAACAATCAACAATGGCTATTTTGTACAATTTTACTTGGTTCATTTCAAACCACCGTGTTTGTACGACGGTTAATGATCTTAACTAACTGACAGATTAGATGCTGTGAAGATCCTTATTCTCAGCTAAAAATATTCTCCATTAGCTTTAACGTTTTACAATTGGAAAGATTGAACACAATTATGACTGACTAATATCTCGTTAGGTTTTATACGAAAAGACAAAGATTAGATTTATTAGTAAACCGGTTAAGTGCTCCGGCGCGAGACTGGTAGGTCCTGGGTTAGAATCTCGCGTGTGCGGGATCGTGGATGTGCACTGCTGAGGAGTCCAATAATAGGACGAAACGGTCGTCCATTGCTTCCAGGTTTTCCATGGTGGTCTAGCTTCAATTGACTCATTACTTCAACTATGAAAATACTAAATTCTCCACAAAACCCCTTCTGATCTATTAATAAATCGTTGCAACAGTTGCCCAATCCAACACCGTATAAACACTTACTACATAACTTTAGAAGAAATTGTTTGAGATCCTGGTTACGAAAAAACAAGAATCATGGAACCGAACAAAATGCTATCAAATAACATAATGTATAAAAGAAGAAATTATGATGTCTGTTAAAGTAGGTAACAGAAACTCAGTTTAATGACTTAAAAGATAATGTTGGTAAATGATTGTTGTTGTTATATCCTAGTGAAGATGTAAGTACGGGTAATTTCCAGGACCTAGTGATGGACTATTATTCTATATGTATTCTTATGGTTTAACTATTGAGTAATTAGATTGTGTATATCTATATTCATCTCATTACAAGCTTCATTTCGACCTATGGATTATTATTATATGAATTACTGTCCCTAAACTATATCCAGTTTATTGATTATTGTCTCTCACGTTCACAGCCACCATCGGCTTGATTTTGTACAAATATTATTTTCTATTTTATGGTGTGATATGGTCTGTCTGTCTGGTATATAAACCGAGTATGATTGAAATAAATGATTCGCGTAACAGAAGCTGTCATTGGTGTTCTAGACTCATTTGGAAGAGCTAGGCGGACAAGGGACCAATAAGAACGCTAGACTGTTCATACCAGTTGAACGTCATTGATTGGTACAGTATTGAGATTAGAAAAGTCGTATTTTGAATGGCGGATAACTCACGTGATAAAAGCTGGACATAAGGTTATAACAAATTGGCAAAACAGCCTTCTTTTTATAAAGTCATAACAGTTGTTATAAATATTGAAGTAAAATGTCGCGCTGAAACTTAAAGTATAATAATATATTAGCTTCTCTCCTAGGTCAGTATGCATTCACTTTCTACAAATCATGTTATTACGTAATTAAGGTATAATTGTTACCATGACGTAAACCTACATTCTTTATAGGATTCCAGTCCTCCATGAATATACCTCAGGAATAAGCACAAACTCATCAATAAACGAACAATATCCTCTAAGGTTATAGCGCACATATCAAAACAAACTGTTGTCTATCGGATGTAGATAACTAGTTTTTCAATGACCAAAATATCACTAGATGCTAAAGATTATAATCAGGAAACGTAAAACCTAATCCCAATCATAAAAGCTGAATTCCTCCAAATGCCCTGGTACGGCCGACAGTGGAAAGAGCCCACTCTCCCTCTCCAAATGCTCTCACATGACCACACGTATATAGCCTCTGTCAGGGAAGTCCTACTCACTGCCTTCTCTTACCACGGGTGTTGTTTATGAAATTGAGAGGACGAAAAGCGAATGTCCGGCGCTTTAAACGGGTTGGTGAACACGAAAAGTCCACCTAGGGGAGTTGGAAACCCCTGATTCCAAACCAATGGTGCACATGGGCTTCAGTACCCTGAGGGAACAAATGGCGTATGAACCAATCGTTCGTCACCAGCTAACATGGGACTGCATCTCCTCACGATGCCCCACTTCCTTGTGGATCAGATCTTTCGGTCAAAGGCTTCGGGTGTGGTCCCTCAAGAAAACCGCCTGCTTCAGTTTGGGCAACTGGGCAGTATCACAGCCGTCACACAAATTAAATGAGATTTGTGTGGTGCATATATATTTGGTGCCCCTTTGTACCAATATTTATATGTTTAAATCAATAAATAAAATGTTAACTGAAATGGTAAACATTAAATTCTAAATTTTAATCCTAACTATCATTTTTAAATTGTAAACTGTGCATCCTAATCCTAAAGTCTACTTCTTAATCGTAACTCCGAGAATCTTAAACTCTAAATTCTAGACCTAAATCCTAGTTCTAGTATCATACATCACTCATTCATTCATTCATACTTGCTAATTTTCGATTAGCTGAATAGGGTCAAGAGTTTGCTGAGGTTATTTAAAGTGTCCGTTTAACTGGTCTACATTAGTTAAGATTTACCATTTAATAATATTACTGATGACATACTTCAATCAACTGTCAAAAACATTAAGTTACAATTCAATGTATCTTTATGTATATTATTATCTATTTAGTAATTAGTAAATAGAAACATTTTAGGTAAAACTATAATTTATAGGCAACCTTCAAGATACGCTGAAGTGACCTAGAGGATGGGCATCTATTGGTTGGGACTAAATGAGGGTTATAAGCTATTTAGAGTTATGATTTACAGTTGATAGTTACGGTTAGAAAATCCCATCATAAACTGACATCAGCTGTAATGCTAAAACTTTATTTAGCCGAATGTATAAATGAATTAGGCGCCAAAATTCAAAACTTGTTATCTTAGATCTGATTGGTTCGTCCATCAATGATAGTCTTGCCATAAATATATGTCGAATATACGTGGAAGCTGATTGTTTTAGGTCAGTCACTAAGCTCAGTACTTCTTTTAGCATTGTAATAACATGAAATAGTGTTCAGAATGCCGTTTGGCTGATGTTAAAAATGACCGTACGTAATATAATTTTGAGGATATTACACTAATAAAAATAATCTGATATATTTTGTGAATACTTTCTTTTCATCGTTTTGAATGATACATATGCGCCACACAAATCTCATTTGATTTGTGTGAGGGATGTGATACTGCCCGAGTGCTCAAACCGAAGCAAGTGGTTTTCATAGGGGGCCACACCCGGAGCCTTTGATCTAAAGGTCTGATCCAAAAGGCAGTGGAGCATCGTGAGGAGATGCAGTCCCATGGTAACGGGTGACCACCAATTAATTCGTACGTCATTTGTTCACTCAGGATACTGGAGCCCATGTGCATCTGTTTTGAATGAGTTATGTTTCATTTATAGCCTATATAAAATTGAAATCACTACACTCTCATATCATTTTCTATATTAATTCAGTTAATCTATGCCGACGATACTAAGTAATATTGAAGGAAAGCCCTAACTTGGAATCATGAAGGGAAATGGAAAAGAGGAATTTCAAAGAACACACTGTGTCGGCAATTGGAAGCACATATGAAAAGGATGAACAGTAACTGAAAACAACTGTAATGATTCGCCCAAGACAGGGTTGGATGGAGAATGCTGATGGGTTGCCTATGCTCCTCCACGAGGGGTAACAGGCGTAAGTAAGTAATAGATTATTTATTTTAATCCTGTTCAAAGAAATTTGCTGTGAACTCAACTCTCGTTATATGTTATCTTATAATTTAAGTGCCACATTGATAAATGAGAGTCAGTCAGAATATGACCACTACTTAATGTATTTTTAGTTTAAACCCATACATATGTGATCAATCAAGATATATATAAAAAAATATGACAACCAATTAGATGTAATTGACCCATGGTGAAATATTGGTTATTGTTTTACACCACCTTAAATGATACCATTTGTTTCCTTAGGATCCTGAAGCTCATGTGCATGATTGGTTTGCAATCAGGGTGTTTCAACACCCCTAGGTTGATCCTCCGTATCCACCAACGCGGTTAAAGCACCGGACATTCGCATTTCCTACTCTTAACTTCGTAAACAATACCCCCGCCACTAGAATGCATTGAGTAGGATTTCCCTGGCAGTGGTTGTATGCACGTAACCATGTGAGAGCATTTCAAGGAGGAAGACATGAATCTCCCCACTCTCGGCCGTACCAGGACTTCATCAAGATTCTCATATTTGTAAACTGTACTAAAATCTAAACATTGCAAACTAAAAATGATCATATCACAACAAGAAAGAAAGTAAAGTAGTTTAACATACCCTTCAACAGTAGTAGTATTTTGAACATTTGTTATATTTGTCATATCTACATCATTTTCTTCTGTTGATGAATTTAAATTATTTGGTTCATGATTACCAAATGAGAGTTGACCAGTATTATTATTATTACTACTATTATTGTTATTAGTAGTATTATTATTACTACTATTCTTATTGTCTTGGTTCATGAAATTTGATTTAGACGTTGACGACATAAAAGATGATTGTTGATTATTAGGAAAAATTGATGAATTAATATTAATACTACTATTATTAGTAGTAGTAGTATTGTATGAATCTAAAAAATTACTATTCGATAATCCATAATTATTTGAATTCATATGATTAAATCCATTTGTACAATTCATTGATGATGAAGATGAAGCTACCGCCGCCGCTGCTGCTGCTGTTGATAACATAGATGATGTTGATGAAGCTGATTGTAAATTACCAAGATTAAATAATGATGGTGTAGTTGATGTTAAATAACGTAAACGTACTGGTGGACTATGTTGTGTAAGAAATTGCATAACAGCTGCATTTGTTTCATTCCAATCTAATTCTGGTGTAATATGACCAGCACGTACTTTACGTTTTGTTTTTGATACAAGATTTTCCCATTTTTTCTTTACCTGAAAAAAAGAATTAAATTCACTTGGTATAGTTTGTTTGAATCTTCCCATTGATGTTAGAGGGACTGAAATTGATCAGTCTCTTATTGGCATATGTGTATACTATGTGTATTGCCTCAATATAGCCTTAATTCACAAGCATTATAAGCGAAGATGGATAGTGGCTAGCAGTGGAATCCAGGACGCGCGTTTCATCCCATTTACAACTCGTCTGCTGGATGTACCTGCATCTCAGAGTTGATGTTCACTCTGGGACTCGAACCCAGTACCTATCGCTTCAAACGCCATCACGTTATCCACTCAGCTACTGAGTCCTGATAGCCACTTGCTTATGCAATGGAAGTTTAAATTTACTTAGTATTGTTTGTTTGTATCTTCCGATTGATGTTTAGGACTGCAACTGGTCAGTCTCTAATTGGCCATATGTGCATACTGTGCGTATTACCTCGATATAGCCTTAATTCACAAGCATCATAAGGAAAGATGGATAGTGGGAAGATCAACACTTGGATACAGGTGTATCCAGCTGATGAGTCTCAAATAGAACGAAGCGGCACGCTTCCTGGATTACACTGCTAGCCACTATCCATCCCCACTTATAAAAGAATTAGTTTATTCAACAACATAGTCAACTGATATGGAATATGTTTCAATTCAAATTGCAAAACCTTACACATCATCAGTACAATAATGGAAATCTAACGAATGAGAAATACTACAATTCAAAAGGAATAATTAATATTAAAAACGGAGAAGTTACAAATGATAATGGACTTAGACATTAACATCGTTGGATGCCGGCCGGCTCAGTTGTCTATCGGTTAAGTGCTCTGGCACGAGACTGTTGGGTCCCGGGTTCGAATCTCGTGAGTGCGGGATCGTGGATGCGCACTGATGAGGAATCTCATACTAGGACGAAACGGCCGTCCAGAGCTTCCAGGTTTTCAATGGTGGTCTAGCTTTAATTGATTCATGAATTCATTTATTACAATCGATTTCTTTGTTTTTAACAAAAACGTGTATTATTCTAAATTCCATTGGAAGATATAAATTAACCTTGAAATTGACGAAAATTAAAATCTTATAAGAGGTCGTGGAATGAAAAAGGACACACAGGTAGGAAAAACCGAATGTATTTGAACACAAAGTTACGGCACATCTTTGTAAAATCTGAGAACCATACAGTAAATACTTCATTTGCAAAATGTCAATCAACTGTCTCACATTTTACTGTTCTTTCATCGTTTCCACACCAATCATTCTCTGTTCTTGTTCCCATTTATTCGATCTTCTTAACCTTCTGTCGCCAGATATTTCACTTCCGATTGATGATACATGCTACTTATATCTATCGACATCAGTAGCACACACCATAGCAGGACCAAAGTTTCAGTGAAAATTCAGCCGTTTTTTTTAGAGAATGACGCGTGCGATGGATAGAGGGTTAAATCATTATTGAAGAGGAAAGTCAGATTATAGGGTTCGACATTGATGTATTATACATACCATATTGAACACACTATTCGACTAACTATAAGACTACTAATCTATCTCAACTACCGAGTACTATGTTAGGCATCTGTATGAGGAAATGAAAGGCTCTACTTATCTTAAAGCGATTAAACAATAATTCCTTATTTCAGTCTAGATCGATTGAAACCACTGATTATCAACATATATTAATATGGAAAGAAGTAATCATGCTATAACATATACAGAGTTCAAATGGTACATTCGTTGTAAACAATATTTTATTTATTTATTTGAATACACAAGGATTGGTACAAGGTGACATTAAATATAGATGGGCCACACAATGACAACGAGGTTGTGAAGGGACAAAGAATATGAAGTGAATATGAGGAAAGAAGAACAACAGCGAACAGAAGTAAGTGTGCGGGAAAGAAATAATAGAAATAATGAAAATAATGAGGGAAACAGTTCAGTTAGAAAAAATACAACCACAGCTTTCTTTCATACCACGACACTATGTTATTCACTGACCACCTCTCCACTTTCTCTAACCAGTCCCAGCGTCGATAAATAGTGCACGACGTGGAATTCTCTGGGATGATATTTGTAGGACATATCCAAGCCACAGAAGTTGATGTTTCAAGATGGTAACAGTAACTAAATTATCTTCGCTTTGTCTTAACACACGATGCTTAACTTCTGCATTACTAACATGGTGTTGCCATTGGATGTCAGCAATGCTTCGGAGACAACGATGATCAAACACAGACAGTCGTCTAACATCCTCAACTCGAAGAGGCCAATATTCACAAACATAAAGTAAAATTGCCCTCACGGACGCGTTGTAGATCCAACTATCATCACGAAGGCGCCGAAGATAGCCCAGATTGGCATAAGCTGCTCTGACTTTCATTATACGTGAATTGATCTCATCACTCGTACCACCACTAGCACTTATGCGGTTACCCAGATACACGAACTTCTCGACTGCTCACTACCCAGAGTGAGTACAGGATCAGGGTCTTTCAAGTCTTGTAAAAGTATGACGGTGTTCTAAAATTTGACTGAGGGTGAAGGTATGATCAATACATCCTTGACTAGAACGAAAACCAGCCTGCTTCTCAAGAGTCAATCATTCTCGGGTTTTGAAAAATCTACGAAGTATGACGGGAGTCAATAGTTTGGATGCAGTCGCAAGTAGACTTTTACCACGATGGTTGTTAGAGAAACGACGTGAACCCTTTTTTAAAGACAGAAACAACTATCGACTCATTCCACTATATTGGAACACTCTCTGATTGCCAGATCTTTGTAAATATTTCAGTCAGTTCCATAAACAGAAGGTCGCTACCACCTCTAAAAAAACCGGAAGTAAGTCTTCTAGGCCTGGTAATATGTCACTCCTCAGGAGTTGGAGTTCTTTGGGAACTTCCGCCTCGTTAGGTGAATCAGTCGTCACAGGCCATAGAGGGCAGGACAGTCTGATTGATGTTGCCGAGGCAGCAGACCAGTTGAACTGCTCCTCGAAAAACTCTGCCCATTTTCCGAGACGTAGATAGATGTTGGTGATTGGCATCCTGTCATTCTCACAGATTGTTTCACTCACATCAGACTTCTTGCTGCCAGTGACTCAGATGAGTTGAAAGAGCTTCCGGCAGTTACCAGATGCAGCTGCTGCTTCCAACTCATTAGCACGCTCCGACCACCAGGCTTCTCGGTCCTTACGCAAGCTTTGCCCAATTCCTTTGCGTAACAGTCTTCGTTTGAGGTCAAACTCATGGTCACCCGGAGTAGATCGACGGGCTTCGATGAGTTGTAAGGAGCCTGAAGAAATTCGTTGCTTATAAGTGGGACGTTTTGCAAAGCCGCAAGTGACTTTACTCGCCATTTTCATGGCGTCATGCAATTAAAACCAATGCTTATCCACACTTTTCGGTGAGATGTTAGCTAGCCTTGAACCCAGCTTGCTTTGATTTTACTTGCAACATGAGCTGCAACCAATTTACTGACATCGATCCTTTTAGGACGATGAATTTGTTGGCCACTGAAAAGTAAGATAAGATTGGCGTACACCAGGGTATGATCAGAGTACTGACAGGTACTCCAAAAGGAGCGGCAGTCCTGTACACAACCACTCCAGATGTGGGTGATCGCGATGTGATCAATCTGAGTCCAGGCTTGAGATGCAGAAAGGGGAGGAAAGGTAGCATATCGGCGATGACTTTGCTGGAAGTTAGTGCTAGCCAGAAACAGGTTGTAGTATATGCACAGTTGCAGTAGATGGTCACCGTTATTGAACCTGCGACCAACAAATCCTAATCGGTCACCTAAACCACTCTCTTCTGTCTAGATGCCCAGCCTGTGCATTGAAGTCTCCGGCTAGTACTACATTATCTGTCGAACGCATTTTCTCTAGCAGAACAGTTAACTAGTGGTAAAACACTACTTAATTAGTAATATATAGAATTAGTCTTAATGATCAAATTGTGGTATAATAAACGTTAAATTTAACGATATTATAACATTGAGTGCAAAGTTATCCACTGACTTCAATAAGAATAATCTAGATGTTCTCTGGAATTAGTTAAGACCTATTTACATCCTGTTTTCCCGATTCCCACTGGCTTCGGTGATTTGAATATCGTCAAGCTTGAACTGATGTACACTTATCTCATGTTATATGTTGTTAATACTCAACTGAATGATTTTGAAAATGATTTGTTTAACCTCATTTCAATACTCACAGCCCCCAAATGCCCTGGTAAGGCTGAGAGTGGGGAGAGTCCGCTCTCCTTCTCGAATTGATCTCACATGACCACGCGAATATAGCCTCTGACAGGGAAGTCCTACTCAATGCCTTTTCGTATCACGGGTGTTGTTTATGAAATTGAGAAAAAACGGAAAATGAATGTTCGGCGCTTTAACCGGGTTGGTGGACACGCAAAGTTCACCAAGGGGAGTTAGAAAACCCTCATTCCAAACCAATGGTGCACATGAGCTCCAGTATCCTGAGGGAACAAATGGCGTATGAATCAATTGTTGGTCACCGGCTACCATGGGACCGCATCTCCTCACGATGTTCTACTGCCTCGTGGGTCCGACCTTTAGGTCAAAGGCTCCAGGTTTGGTCCCCTAGGAAAATCAACTGCTTCAGTTTGGGCAGCTGGACAGTATGACAGCCCCCACATATATCAAATGAGATTTGTGTGACGCATATATAACTCGTGCCCCTTTGTACCAATATTTACGTGTTTAAATAAATAAATAAAACTCAGAGGAACATTATATATATGACGGATAATTTTAGTTGTTTAAAGTAGTTTCCAATCTAAATGTATATCAGTCCGTCAGTGATTGTAACTACCCCAAAATATAACTTTTAGATTCAATACCGACAAGAATTGTAAATGGAAACAGTTTAAGGGTAGAATAAAACACAATCGTACAATACTACACGATCTTTATTAACAGTCTCAAATGAACGGTTGTAAAAACAAAAAGCACCTAGAGTTCCCTATCAACAAAGTTATAAATTCAGAAGGGTTTTTCGGAGATTTCAGTATTTTTAATAGTTGAAATCATGAGTCAATTAAAGCTAGACCACCATGGAAAATCTGGAAGCACTGGACGGCTGTTTCGTCCCACTATGGGAATCCTCAACAGTGAGCATCCACGATCCCGCCTGGTAAGCGAGATTCGAACTCAAGACCTACCAGTCTCGAGCCAGAGCACTTAACCGATAGATCACTGAGCCGGTATCTAACTGTGTTAATGTTTATTATTAAATTTTTTAAATAAAAACAGATGAATCCGGAAGGGAAGAGGAAAAGAGGAAGGCCGAAGAACACATTACGCTGGGAAATAGAGACAGTTATGAAAAAGGATAAATGGTAACTGGAAAGGATTGCTCAAGACAGGGTTGAATGGAGAATGCTAGTAGGTGGCCTATACTCATCCACGAGGGCTAACAGATGTAAGTAAGTAAATAAGTAAGAACAAATGAATAACAACAATAGTTTAAACGAACTTACTTGATCAGCTGTTCTTCTTGGTGCATGTGGCCAACGATTTGCCATACATACAGCAACTTCTTCCCATGCTCTACGTTTTAACCGATTAGTTGATGGTGATAATGATAATAATATATGTTTTCTTGCTTCAATTTCTTTTAACATTACTTTGACTTCATCAATAACAAATGTTTCAGCACGTTTACTTGGATTCATTAATAATGATGCAACATCAGCATGATTCATTGATGTAACAAATTGTCCAGATGTAACATTATTAATACCACTAACTACATTATCTAATGTTGTCATCAAGGCACCAACATTTCCAATTCCACCTTGGGATAGATTCATATTATTATTACTATTATTAGTAGTATTTAATGTTTGTGAAATTGAAGGGATTAATGATGAAAATTGTGGTTTAATATCACATGGTTCCAATTGATATTGACAAGGATTTTGTTGAAGAATTTGCTGTTGCTGTTGTTGTTGTTGCTGCTGTTGCTGTACGGATTGTTGAGATGGTAACTGCACTGATTGACTTAATGAAATAGGTTGAAATTGGGCCATAATCTCTAGTTGTTTGTTTGTTTTGGTTTTCCTTGCAAATATGTTTGATTATCTAACGGTTACTAGTAGTATGTAGTGTGTAGTTCCTTTCTCATCTTTTTTTTTCTTCAAAAAAAAACACAGGAACATTAAGGCGTCATCAGTGTTTGAAGTTGACTTTCCATACTGATTAACTGGTTAAATGATGATAGTTAGATAGTTAGATAGATAGGATTAGTAGCTTAGTTAGTAATAGAATAAGTATGTATGTCTGTATAGTGTGTATGTGTATGTGTATGTGTGTATGTGCGTGGGTGGGTTGAATGAAGTTATCTTCTTTTTCTTAACTCTAAACTTATGGTTGGTAGATTTTAGAATACTTCGCTTTACACTAAAAAAAAATCAATAAGTCTAGTGAAGGACGAAGTTTAGATTGAATTTGGTTGGTTAGTAAAAGTTAAATGTTAGTGGTAAGTTTAAGAGAAAGAGAGAAAGAGAAGTTAAGAAGGCTTTGTTAGTTAGATAGATAGATAGATAGATAGAGAGAAAGAGTCAGAAAGGGAGGGAGAGAGAGAGAGACAATGATGACAGACTGATTGATAGATAGACAGACATATAGACCAACAGACATAAAGTATATTGACTAAATGTTAATAATTGAAAGGGGCAGTTAGAAAGAAAAAAACAACAGGTCTGATAAATTTTGATCGGAAAGAGACTAATTTTTTTTAATTACCCTATTTGCATAGATCAAAACACCTTTTTAAGTAAGGTTAAGTTTTTGTAACCTTTTGTTCTTATATCCCAATAGTCTATCATAGATCTTCATAGTTGAAATCATGAGTCAATTGAAGCTAGACCACCATGGAAAACCACGAAGTACTGGATGGTTGTTTCAACTTAAAATGGGACTCTTCAGCAGTGCATATCCACAATCCCATATGCGGGATTCGAACGCAGGATCTATCGGTCTCTGTTGGGAATGCTTAACCCCCTAGACCACTGAGTCGGTAACCAACTATGTTAATGTCTAAATTCCATCGATTCATAAATGACTGTGCAATCATTCATCGACTGTTTGAGTTAGATATCTGTCTCTACCCGACATAGATTGGACTTCACTGGTCATGTCTTTTCACTAGAACTCCACAAAATACCTGTTGAAGCCAATTACTAGTGAGCACATGATGATTATTATCAGTATGATGTTGTGATGTCTACTTACTTACATACACCTGTTCACTCTGAGTGGATAGCACGATGGCGTTTAAAGCGAAAGGTACAGGGTTCGAGTCCCAGAGTGAAAATCAACTCTAAGATGCAGGTACATCGAGCTGACGAGTCCCAAATAGGACGAAACGCGAGCCAAACTGGATTCAACTGCTAGCCACTACCTATCTTTGCTTACCATGCTTGTGAATTAAGGCTATATCGAGGCAATACGCACAGTATGCACATATGCCAATTAGAGACTGACCAGTTGCAGTCCCTCTAACATCAATGGGAAGATTCAAACAAACAATACTAAATGAATTTAAAGTAACCAATCCTTGAAACACTGGACGGCCGTTTCGTCCTATTATGGGACTCCTCAGCAGTACGCATCCACGAGAGGCAGTGACCAGTGGAGTTCAGAACCACGTCTGTTGTGAGATAGGAACTCACTGAAGACAATTGGTGAATGGTTGCTCAACTTCGTGGATCAGTTGAAGTTAGACATTAACACCGTTGGATGCCAGCTCAGTGGTTTATCGGTTAAGGGCTTCGGCTCGGGACTGATAGGTCCTGGGTTCGAATCTCACAAGAGCGGGTTCGTGGATGTGCACTGCTGAGGAGTCACATAATAGGACTAAACGGCCGTCCAGTGTTTCCAGGTTTTCCATGGTGGTCTAGCTTCAATTGACTCACGCTTTCAACTATGATAAATACTAAATCTCCACAAAACCCCTTCTATAATTAACATAATCAATCCTTCTTTATCCCGATAACATTACACCCATTCCTTTATTTATTACATCATTCATTATTTCAACTGCTTCTGAAGTTTGATTACATCATTGTCTCATCTAAATAATGTTCAATTGCTGACACCTCGTGACTACATGTAATTCCCCTATTTTTCTTAAAATAAGTAACCGAATTGATTATACACAAATGTAAATGGTACAGAGGAGTTGATTACAACATTTAATACAATATGGCTACACTTAAGTCATGTCAATCAGGTCAAAGGTGATTCAATCTGAGACACATATATGAGTTTATTCATGTATCTCTCAATTTGGTTTGAACAATGTTATAATTATAAATAGAAATATAGATATAAGGTTCATTTTTTGTATGTTAATGATATGTGATTTGAACACATTAAATGTATCACACGGGGGTTTTGTGGAGATTTTAGTAGTTTTATATAGTTAAGATCATGAGTCAATTGAAGCTAGACCACCATGGAAAACCTGGAAGCACTGCTTGACGGCCGTTTCGTCCTATTGTGGGACTCCTCAGCAGTAGGATTCGAACCCAGAACCTACCGGTCTCGCACCAGAGCACTTAACTGATAGACCACTGAGCCGGCACCCAAAGGTGTTAGTGTCTAACCTCAACCAATCCACGAAATTGCGCGACCAACTTCCATTGTACCTGACATGGATTAGCTCCACCGGCCACGACTTCTCACTACAACCCCAGGAATTACCTAATAGAGCTAGTCACTAGTGAGCATATGATCATTATCACAAGGGGGTTTCAATTGACTCATTATCTTAACTATATATTATTAAATGTAGTTGTTTAATAAATGGTTTGAATGAATTTTTCTGGTTAGCGTTTTTTAGCGAGTTGATTTTCTACTGGATGGGGTCGCTAACCCCATGCCCAACCCTCCTCCTTTACCCGGGCTTGGGATCGGCATTAACCCCCAGAGGAGCTACAGGCCGAGTTTGTTTGATAAATAGTCAATGTTTAATGTACAGCTAGGTGTTGGATTCTTTTGAGAACAGTATGGATTAACAATATGTGAAAAGCTTCAATCACTCATCCTTTAGAAAATTACTGTAGATCATCAACGTTAATGATCTCTGTCGAATGATTGGGGGTCTAATCGAGTTAAACGGGAATGGTGTGACAAACTACCTAATTTTGAAGTCACACCTCGCGGTCAGCATCTAACGTGGATTAGCCCTTCGAACTACTATGGCTGCTTTTAAAGACCATATAACACAAAGGACATTATTAAGGACATATATTAGTAAGAATCAGTACAGAGAAGATAGTGAGACCACTACCTCATAGGCCAGTTCATGTCATACGATTAACTGATGCGTATTGGTTGTCCTTGACCGTGACGGAGATCGATGATCTGTTTGATATTTAGTGACCCAACTGCCGGATGACTTGATTAAGGCTCAGTAACATTTCACTGGGCCAACAATATCGTTTGAATTATTTTGATAATTTTAACTATCCATTTGATGGTTTTTGAAAATAACTTGTTTTGTTACTACTTATTTAGTTTGTAGATTTCCGAATTCTACAGGATTATTAGATACTAGAAATATGAACAATGAATAAACATGTTGGTTCAATAGAAAAACTTTTAATACTAGGTTATATTGTGTAAATGATAATAATGCATAATTGTGTATACATCCACTACCAGGAAAGTCGTATTCAATGCCTTTTTGCGGCATTACTGTAGTTTACGAAATTGAGAGGACGAAAAGCGAATGTCTGGTATTTTAACCGGGTTGGTGAATATGAAGGATTCACCTAGGGAAGTTGGAAAACCCTGATTCCAAACCAATGGTGAATATAGGCTTCAGGATGCCGAGTGAACAAATGACGTATGAACTTCTTGTTGGTGACCGGTTACTATAGGACTGCATCTCCTTACGGTGCTCCACTGTCTCGTGGATCATACCTCTAGATCGAAGGCTCCGGGTGTGATTCTATAAGGAAACCACCTGCTTCGGTCTGGGCACCCGAGAAGTATCACAGCTCACATACAAATCAGGTGACTTGTGTGGCGCATATGTATTCAGCACCTCTTTATACCAATAATAATGTGTTCAAATAAACAAATAAAATCTATGGAATGTATGTAGATATAGAAGGCTGGTGAAAATAATGGACTAACATTGAATTACAATATGAATGTAGTAAGATCATTCAAAGTAGACAGATTAAATAAATAAAATGATATTGAAAACAATCATTCAGATAAGCAAAGATGGATAGTGGCTAGTAGTGGAATCCAGGATGCGTGTTTTATCTTATTTGGGACTCGTCAGCTGGATATACCTGTATCTTAGAGTTGATGTTCACTTTGGAACTCGAACCCAGTACTTTTCGCTTCAAACGCCATCGCGTTATCCACTCGACCACTGAGTACTGATAACGCGTATGCACATATGCTAATTAGAGACTGACAAGTTGCAGTCCTAACACATCGATGGGAAGATTCAAACAAACAATACTAAATGAATTTAATCTTTCAGATACTTTTTCATCCCTTAATAATATTAAATACTACTTTACATGTTTTGAAGCGAGTAAAATGCTTGGTGGGATTAAACAGCATGCATTACATGAAGCGAAATATACGAAAAACTTGACCAGTGTAAATATATACATATAGTGAATGTTGTACGTTGATGCCTACTGATTCAGAAGCTGTTGATACACTGGCTGTCTTCATCAGTATTTGTTGGTGTTTATCATATAGAAGAGCTAGGTCATCTGTTAAGTCTATATCGTCTAGCTGCATCCAAGCCGTCCATTGTATTTCGCGTTTCCTTTGAGATTTGGAGGTCTTCATAATCCAATACAACCATCGGATGAAAGAGAAAGGATGAGAGTAAGCATTTAGAATGTATCTGTCAGTGGTCCTCCATTCATGAATTGACAGTGAAATCTGTCGTATGAATTCCGTATGATGTAGACGACCTACTCTTGTACACCATAGTGTCGAGGAAAGTTCCTTAAGGTTCTTCTATCCACATTGTTAAACGCTTTCTCGTAGTTGATGTACAGTGACGAGTTCCATTCAAGTGCTTGCTCAACAATGATGTGCAGTGTCACCATTCGGTCTGTACATGATCGATCCTTACGGAATCCAACCTGTTGATCTCCAAGTTGGACGTCTACTGAATGTCTTGCCGCCTTCTTAATTCTGATTTGTTTGATGACCATGATGATTTCTTCGATCGTTGGTGAAGTTAAAATCTATAGAAAGATCTATGTTTGCTGCTTTAATGTCCGGTGGGTTCAATGTAGCTGGCCTATTCAAGAGTTCCTCGAAATGTTCTACCCATCTGTTTTGCTGTTTTTAAGTATTAGTGGTTGCCTTGCATTATTTGTCCTTGACCGGTTTCTGTTTTACATTTCCCTACCAGTTTCTTCGTTGTGCCATATAGTTGTCCCATATTCACTTATCTTGTAGCTTTATCCTCTGTCCTTGCTAGGTCTTCCACATATTCCTACTTGCCAGCTCTAAT